CCACTTCAGAAAGAAAGCATGATAGACATTCAAGACCTCCTAGACCTCCATTAGGAGACAGGCCTTCTGCTCCAGGCAGTAAACCCAACATATGCGATGGGAACTTCAATACTGTGGCACTGTTCAGAGGAGAAATGTTTGTTTTTAAGGTAATAAAGACTGTCCTATCAAAGCTGTTTTCATTAAGCCTTATATATTGCAAGTTCATCTATAATTAATTATACGTCAGCAAAGTCATTTGGTATTTCAATCTCAGAAGTTAATTAAAATGGATTAGCTTGAGGAAACAGCCATAAATAAGACGGTATTATGGCAGACATAATGCATTTCCTTCAGAAATACTTAAATAAGCAAAACTGTTAGTAAATCTGGGACAAAAAGTATTTATTTTTCACTTGCATCTAAGGATTTGTGATGTGCAACACTGTAGAGTGACTTCTGTTCCTCTTTTCAGCATTTTTCCTGATCCAGCAATCTTTTCCAGATGGGGGAGCTCTGATGTGCAGAAAATGCTCTTCTGGCTGCTGTACAGTCCTGCTCCAGTTAAAATGAATAGGGCCAAGCCATGCATACTGACACACGTGGGGCTTCTCTATTAAGACAGATCTTTGTACAGCCTTGAAGTTTTTGTTTTGTAAACCTGGCCAGCAGTGCCATTATAATTTCCTATCCTATTGAATTTTTGAAAATGATTGAAAATTATTTCGCTTGGATTGGAACAGATCTGTTATCCCTCAGAAAAGCATTTCCATTTTTTTTCATTTTCAGTTTAAAATCAGAATGATGAAGCCTATAAAATAAATGACAACAATGTGCTGTTTTAGTACAATTGATATACTATCTCACACTGATGTGTTTTGTAGAAAGTGGAATGTACTTTCACAGTACAAGGTTGTTCACTCAGCAATATATCTCAGTTGGATGTATAGAAAATTCTCTTGGGCCAGCCCTGTGGGGATGCATTATAGTCAGTATGCCATTTTGTTTGGAGGGAACTCAGGGTAATGAAAGGTGACAACGCCAAAATGAAGATTCAAGATAGAAACAAGCAGGGAGGAATGGCAAATGTAGAGCACACTGTAGAACAGAAGGGCTCAGAATGAGGCAAACAGCATGATGAGAAGAAAAGATAAAAATGTTCCAGTAAATGTTAGATTTAGGAGATCAAGATAGTAACAACAGTGATTTCAAAGTAACTGTGCTGCTAGGAGAACAATAAAGCTTCTAAATGTGATTCAAGCTGGTGCTTGGGATGTAGGGGATACTGTGGTATTGTGTATATTTTGGATATGCTGTTTCATCACCTCATGTCAATCTATTGTACATTCTTAGGATAACCGTTTTCCTTTTTCTAGGACCGCTGGTTTTGGCGTCTTCGTAACAATCGGGTGCAAGAAGGTTACCCTATGCAGATTGAACAGTTTTGGAAAGGGCTGCCTGCAAAAATTGATGCAGCCTATGAAAGATCTGATGGAAAATTTGTTTTCTTTAAAGGTAACTCTTCGGGCTTGGATCCA